TTAGGGTTTAGTTTAGGGCTTAGGGTCCCGAGGCTTGGCAGCAATGGCCTGCTGCTTGCAAAGGCAGACACGTGACCTTGCTCGGGCGCACGTGAGACTGTTGATGCAGGAATTAAGGTTAGCAGGTTCACGAAGGACATCGATTGTTATTCTCTACGATATGTTGTTGTACTACATTATACCATAATAGTCTATATGGTACTATGCTGCATCATACGATATCGAATGCTGTGTTATGCTACACTATGTAAGCTCTGCTCTCGAAGACTTGGCTTCTGAGCTCATAAAGAATCCGAGTGACATCTGCACAACTTGTGGAGCTCGGTAGGCAGTCTATCAGATTGTATAGGGTTTGGGGTTTAGGATTTGGCGTTTGTGGTTCAGGGTTTAGGCTTTCGGCGCCCTGTAACTGCAACGGGTCTGTGCCATGACAGTGCGCGGCCGTTTCGGTCCAAATAGCTAGACCAACCGAAGCTGATATAAAGCCTGACGACAATACTATTCTTTAGGGTTCCTCATCATATTTATCGTGTAAGTAACCCAACGCCTACACTGCACCGCTGAGCATCGTGAACTTGCAACGCTAGTAGCATGCATGGAAGCATTGTTGCTGGACCCAAATTCCAAGCCCCCAAGCCCCCAAGCTGTTCACACCGAAACCTGGACACTTGCTCTTGCTGTAGGGGTACTACGAAGGTACTAGACAGGTGCTATTATAAGGGCACTGAGCGGTTACTCTCTTGCTCCAAAATCTGGAACTTTTCGGAGGTGGGAAATTTCCTAAGTAATATGCTCCACAACCATATTCAATTTTCTAAGGTGTCTGAAGTTGTCCTTTGCTTTACACCCCTTTTTCGGCCACGTCTTCGCGCAGCAGCGGCTTTCCCCTCCATGGTGTAAGCCATGCGCTGGGCTCTGCCGGGGCCTGTTTGGGGTTTGGCGTGTAAGGTTTCGGTTTAGAGTAATGGTTTGGGGTTTACGATTCAAGGTTCAGGTTTTCGGATTGCAGTTTGGGATTTGTAAGGCCTCACTTCAGGGTTTGTCGTGCTTTCCGAGTTGGGACTTTGTAGGTCTGTATTTGCCACGATTCAGGATAGTCGCTCTGCAGGTATTTCGAAAGCTCCTCACACAGGTTTAGGGTTTGGGAATCTGCTTGAGTTGAAGATTGAAGATCAAAGACGTTTCCTGAGAGAACTGACTTCTCAGTGCCGACTAAACCCTCAGGCTTGGATCTTAATCCTATCCCCTATGTCCTAATATCTAAACCCTACACCCTAATTTCTAACCCCTAGATTTGTAAGGTCGATTTGTGGTATTGCT